ACAGTGCCTGCCTGGCAAGCGCAAGGTCATGAGTTTGATTCCTTGTACCAGAAAAACAAAACAAAACAACCAACAAAAAAAGTCACTAAGTTGCCCAGGCTAGGCTCAAACTTGAGATCCTCCTGCCTCAGCCTCCCAAGGAGCTGGGGTTATAGGCATGTGCTGGAAGTTTAGAATTGTGGGCCACCAAGTTGTTCCATCTCTCTTAGCCACCAGCAATTCTGTCATCCGTGACAAATGGAAAGTTAATTCACATTAAAATGCCAATAAGTGGGGTGTGGTGCTGCATGCCTGTAATCCTAGCACTCAGGAAGGCAGGAGAATCACTGTGAGTTTGAGACCAACTTGTGTGTTACATAGTGAGTTCAAGGCCAGCCTGAACGACATTTGAGACCCTGTCTCAAAAAAAAAAAAAAAATCTAATGACTTCCAGAATGGGGAGACATGTTTGTGGCAGAGGCAATCTGAAAAAGGCAAAGCCTCACAGGCGGCTGGCGTAGTCAAGTACTCCCTGGGGTGCCCACAGCATTGGTCACAGAATCAGGCCATGAGATGATCTGGGGACATCTCTCCTGCTAGAGTGAGAGGCTTGAGGGCAGGGGCAGATAGAGCGCGTCTCTGTGCTCCCAAGGCTGGTCCCAGCAGCATCGGGAACGTGGGTGACAAATGAGGGGCACGGAGATATGGAGCGTGTAGGCGTGTGCGTGCTGGGTGGCTGAGGGGGTGCACTGTGCGTGGGTGGAAAAGCAGGGTGACGACTGTTCTAACGTTCTCAGCTGTCCCGTCTGCTTCCTGGTCCCTCCCTGCAGCCTTCTCACGTACAAAGCGTCGCTCATGGTCCAGAAGAGAACGTCCTCTTCTTAAAAATCAGTTTTACAGACTGATGCTTGGCCCTGGTCCTAGGTTCTACCCCAGCATGAGAGAGAGAGATAGACAGACAGAAAAGAGAGACAGAGACACAGACAGACACAGACACAGAGAGACACAGGCACAGAGACACAGAGGCAGAGACACAGAGAGATAGAGAGACAGAGAGAAAGAGAAAGACAGACAAAGCAACAGAGACAGAGAGGGAAGAAAAAGGAGGAAGAGAGAGGGAGGAAGCTGATGAGAAAGGGAGAGAAGGAAACGAGAGGCAGGAGACAACAGCTTTGGAGCAGAGCCAGGCTGACAGACTGACCAGGGCACAGACAGATCCCTCAGAGGAAGGGCGCAGCAGAGCGCGAGCTGCAGTGTGCCAGAAAGGCCATCTGCTCGCCACGGACTGGAGCTGGGGAGGAAGGCGTCACTCCCATCTCCGGCTGCCTTTGAGCAGCCAAGTCCCTAGGGACTTGGAGGTCCCACCAGAGCCCCTCTTCCTTGGGCCACTCTGCCTAAATTCCACCCACGCACAGTGCACCCCCTCAGCCACCCAGCACGCACGCGCCTACACGCTCCATATCTCCGTGCCCCTCATTTGTCACCCACGTTCCCGATGCTGCTGGGACCAGCCTTGGGAGCACAGAGACGCGCTCTATCTGCCCCTGCCCTCAAGCCTCTCACTCTAGCAGGAGAGATGTCCCCAGATCATCTCATGGCCTGATTCTGTGACCAATGCTGTGGGCACCCCAGGGAGCACTTGACTATGCCAGTGACAGCTACGTGCTGACAGACCTGTCTGTGTTTGCCAGGAGAGAGGAGGAAGGACAGCACACACAGTGTAGCTCAGCCCCGGGAGGCAGAAGAGACAATCAGTAGGGCTGAGGCAGAGGGTGGATGGAGGACCAAGGCGGAGGTTGCCAGTGGAAAGCCAAAAAGGACCTTTAATTCTGACCATGGGGCCAGATGGCTTTTGCAAAATTAAAAAATAAAAAAACGCAGCACCCAGAGTATGCCACTAGAGGTATGGGGTGGCCAGCAGGCTCTTGCTCAAGGCCTGGGGAGACACATATGCCAATCTCCAGCCTGCAATTTAAAGGGGAACAAAAGCCTGCCATGGTGGTGCACACCTGTAAACCTTCTCTGGGAGGCTGGGGCAGTAGGATTACAAACTCAAGGCCAAAAAAAAAAAAAAAAACAAACTCAAGGCCAGCCTGGGCAACTGAGTGACTTAGTGAGACCCTGTCTCAAAATAAAAAATACAGTAAACCAGGCATGGTGGCACATGCCTGTAATCTCAGCACTCAGGAGGCTGAGGCAAGAGGATCTCTGTGAAGTTTTGAGGCCAGCCTGGCTACTTAGTGAGTTCAAGGTCAGCCTGAACTATGTAGTGAGACCCTGATTTAGGAAAAAAATGTGAATAAATAAATAATAAAAAGGGGGCTGGAGATGTAGTTTAGTGTGTGGGCCCTGGGCTCAATCCCCAATACTACAAAAAAGAAAGGAAAGGATAGGACAGCCTAAACCTCAGGAAGGATGCCACTCAAAGCCACTGCCCCTGAGATGGACAGACAGATAGACAAATGGATGTTTGCAAAGAGGGTGAACATGCAGACACAACCCTGAGCTCTGATCCACACCTGCACTCTGGGGACACAGGCCAGGGACCTGACACAAGGGCAGGCATCAGGTATGTGTACCCCAAGTGGCTGAGACAGTATAATCACAAGATAGAGCTCAGGCTAGGCAATTTAGTGACTTAGCAAGACCCTGCCTCAAAAATAAAAATGATTTCAGAATATAGCTCCGTAGGAAGGCCCTTGGTTCAATCCCAGTTACTCATCCAGCCCCCAGCACTCTGCTGAATTTCACTCCCAGCTCTGTGTGTGTGTGCGTGCGTGTTGAGACAGGGCCTCAGCCTCTTGAGTAGCTGGAACTACAGGTACACTCCACTGAGCATGGTCCAGGTGAAGGCTGAAGGAAGCAGGGATAAAGCAGACATAATGGCACACGGCTGTAATCTCAGCACTTGGGAAGCTAAGGCAGAAGGATCACTGCAAGTTTGAGGTCAATCTGGGCTACATAGAAGACCCTGTCTCAAAAACCCCAACCTACTCCCTCAGAAGGGAAGCAGAGAAAGCAGGGATTTGCTCTGGATAGGAAGTGAGGGCAAGTCTATGATTAGGTATCTCAATGAATTTTGTCTAAGAAGTGGATTAGAGAGGATTAAAGCTGTAACAGATAGTGAAGTTATGTATCAGCCAGGTTGGGGCTAGAGGTGTAGCCCAGTGACAGAGCACCTGCCCAACATGTACAAGGCCCTGAGCTCCATACAGAGCACCTCAGGAAAAAACAGAACAGCTTATCAGCCAGGTTTGGCAGGCTTGGAGGACATTCAGTCTTTTCTTTTTGGTCTAAACAATGTTCATGAGATTGTGATCAGACAAAATTACAGATTAGTCTTGGTTTTGGTTTAATTCGCCATGGCACAGAGCAGCCTTCTCTGATGTTGACCTTTTCTTTTTTCTGTTATTGGTTTGTTGTGGTGCTGGGGACTGAACCCAGGGAATGCTGAGCTACATCTCCAGCCTTTAAATTTTTTTTTGAGACAGAGTCTTGCTAAAAGGCCCAGACTGCCCTTGAATTTGTGATTCTACTGCCTGGGCCTCTCAAATAGCTGAGATTACAGGCTTGTTACCATTATGCCCAGATTAGACTGGTTTCTTTTGTGAAGAACAGCTTTTCTTCTTTGTACTTCTTATTTATTTTTGTGGTGCTGGGGACTGAACCCAAGGCTTCAAGCATGTATTTTTTTGAGACAAGGTCTCACTATGTAGCCCAGGCAGCCCTCAGACTCACAGCAATCCTCTGTCTTAGCCTCCTAAGTGCTGGGCTTAGAGGTGTGCACCAACGTATCTGGCTGGTTTGGGTTTAAAAGGGGTCTTGCTCAATTGCTGAATTGCTCAGGTTGGACTTGAATTGTGAACCTCCTGACTTTGCCTCACAAGTGCTGGGATCACTGGTATGTGCCACCACACCCTGCTCAAGCATGTGTTTTTATAAGTACTTTTTACACCAGGCATTGTGGTATGCACCTGTAATCCCAACACTCTAGGAGGTTGAGGCAGGAGGTTCACAAATTCAAGCCCAACCTGGGCAATTTAGCAATTTAGGGAGACCCCTTTTAAACTAAAAATCAGCCAGGAATGGCAGTGTATTCCTCTGATCTTAGCACTTGAGAGGCTGAAAAGGGAGATTGCTGTGAGTTCAAAGCCAGCCTGACTACATAGCAAGACCTTGTCTGAAAAGACAAGAAAAACAAACAAACAAAATAAGTAAGTAAATAAAAAAGGTCTGGAGATGTAGCTCAGTCCAAAGGCCCTGGATTCAATCCCCAGTACCACCAGAAAAGGGCAGGGGGCGGGGTCAGTCTGTGCACTGTTCCTAGACCTTATGCTGCAACCTAAATCCTAATAAACAAAGCCTCTTTCAGATGGAGAGAGGCAGAGAGGGTGGAGGGAGGTTATGCTAGGGTGTAGATCAACGGCGGAGTGCTGGCCCACCGCCCCGGGAAACTGGGCATGCCTTCCTTAACTCCACACAGGTAGGCATTAATCTATTAGAATTCCTTTTCCTTAGCTCCTGGGGTCAGGGTGGGGTCCAGCTTGACCTGGGCTTCCTTCTTCACCCCCATCAGTGCTAAGCACCCTAGCAGCCAATAAATGTTGTTTTGGGAAAAGAAGCTCTCCTTTGAAAAAAAAAAAAAAAAAAAAGTTGGGGGCGGCCCTTCATCAGCCTAGGAATAGAGCAGAATACCCAGAAGCTGCTGGGTCGGGTGCTGCATAAATCCTTAGTGGTTCGGCTCAGAGAGCCCTGTACGATCTTTGCGGGGGCTACTGTAAGTGCTTTGTAAATGACCTCCCTCCTTTGGGGTACTGGGGATTGAATTGTGGGGCACTCTGCCACCGATCTATAACCTCAGCCCATTTCATTTTTTAATTTAATTTAATTTATTTTATTTTGAGACAGGGTCGCACTATGCAGTCAAGGGTGGCCTTGAACTCACTATGTAGCCCAAGCTGACCTCGAACTCGCAGCGATCCTCCTGCCTCGGCCTCCCGAGTGCTCGGATTACAGGCATGCGACACCACGCCCGGTTTATTTCATTTTTTTTAATTTTAGGGTCTTACTAAGTTGCTCAGACAGCACTCGAAGTTGTGAATCCTCCCGCTTGCCTCGCTCGGTACTGAAATTGCAGGCATGTGCCACTGCGCCTGGTTTAAATCTCCCCTGTAGAAGCGCTCCCCGCTAGCCTCCAGAGCTTCGCATGATCGCTCACTAGTCAGCGGAGTCACCTTAGTCCAGGGTCGAGGGAGGTGGGGGAATAAGCCGGCAAATCAGTTACTGATAAGCCAAGCGCCTCCGGCTAGCCCTCAGGGGAAGCACAGGCGCCTGCTGTGTCCTCTGAGGTGACAGTCATTACCTATAAACACTCCCCGCCGGCCCCTGAGGGTGGGGAGGGCTGGAAATTCCGTCAGCTGTCTCAAAGGATGGAGATAGCCAGGCCTCGCTCTAGTTTGCCATCTGTGAAACGGGGCCACAGCAAGTGGAGAGGACGTGCGTGGGTACGCATGGGGAGAGGACTTCGAGGCTGCTCCTCCCTCCCCCGATCTTTCCCACTTCATTCCCTAGGATTAGAAATTTGGCCATTCGGAAGTTTGTTCTTGGAGATCAGAAAACCTCCCTCGCGAGGGTACCGGGGCTGGAACCCAGCAGACGGGAAAAAGTGCGCGCGCTAACCCCTGCGTGCCAACGTCCTCCCGCGCCCGGATCCCCGTAATCCTCCCGCTCCCCCTCCCGGTCCCCGCCCCGCTCCAGCTCTCCGATTGGCCAAGCCCGGCTGCCGGCCCACCCCGGGATTTAAAGGGCCAGCTTCACCTCACCGGCCTGGGAGCCGCTGTTGGTCCCGGCCTTGTGGCCTGCGGGGGAGGCTGCCGGGAGGAGGAGGCTATAGTGGCAACGGCGGCAGCGCGTCCTGGCCCCCAGGATCACGGTTTTCTTCCTGCCAGGTAGGTCACCAGTGGTGTGCACGCCGCTCCCTGCGCCTATCCTTGAGTAGGTCCCCCCCGCACCAATCTGAGCTCACGTCCTGGGACCCCCTCCGCATCACCTTCCCAGTCCCGCTCCTGGTGTGTTTGTTCTCTGCCAACCTCTCCCCTCCCTGCAGTCCCTGGACCTGGGCAGGGATTTGTTGGAGCCCTTTTGCTGGGTGGGAGTGAGATGGGCAGCACGGAAGATGCAGGATACCCCCATCCATACAAGAAGAGATGCACACGGCCCTTGAGTGTCACAGAATCCCCCCCTGCCCTCCACACAGAGCAACTGTACCTGGAAACCAGAGCCCCCTTCCCCTGCTCCTTTTGATTTGTGGGCCTAGAATGCACATCATTTGATCATCATCCCACCGAACTGTTCACATCATTCAAGATACACGGGCGTTCATTCACCACAGGTCACAGTTGTGCTCGTGCACCCAGAGCACGCACTCCCGTGCACGGTTGGTGGCTCAGTCTGATGTACCTGATGTTCACATCCTTCCCCAGGCCCCCAGTACCAGCTGCGAGCTCAGTAGTACCAATCTGAAATTAGATGCTTAAGTCCATCTCCTTGGGCATGGGCAGCCACACGGACATCCTGCCCTCTCTGTGTCCCCCCCTTGGCAGATCTGTCCATCTGTTCACCTGTCTGTGGGGGTCCACAATGGCCACCTTCAGCCGCCAAGAATTTTTCCAGCAGCTACTGCAGGGCTGTCTCCTGCCTACTGTCCAGCAGGGCCTTGACCAGATCTGGCTGCTCCTTGCCATCTGCCTCGCCTGCCGCCTCCTCTGGAGGCTGGGTAAGTGCCTTGCACACCGTGTGCCGCCACACTGGACTGTGCCATATCTGCGTGTTCATCCATATTAAGCTGCACCTCACCCTGCTACATTTTGCCATGCCAAGCTAGGCCCGGACGTGTTCAGCCCCATCACATCCTACCAGCCCAAGCTTCATGCTGCCTTACCACATCCTACTGTGCCCAGCCACCACGTGCTAAGCCGTGCCAAGCCACATCCTATCATACTGAGTCATGCCCTTCAGTATTCGTGAGTTCTAGGATTCTGGAAAGCTGAGGTTCTTGGATCTTGGGATCCTGAAATATCTACATCCCAAGGGTATTCTGGAATGCTGATGCCACAGGGTTATGGAAAATCAGAGTACCATGCTTACAGCCTATGGAAATTCTGAGTTGAGATTCTCACATTCTAGGCTTTCAAAATGTTGGCATTCTGGATTTCTAGAATAGGGGCATGGCGAAATTTCTGGATTCTAAGATTGTGGAATGTTTCCAGAATCATAGCAAGCCTAGATTCAAAGGATAAGGTTCCACGTCCCCAGAGTTCCTATAGGATGCAGAGATTTCTGGAAATCTAACATTCAAAAGCTCTACTGTTTTTTTTTTCTTTTTATTTTAAGTGGATGTTTTGTTTTTTCGCAGGTGTGTTAGTATTATTATTTTGTGGTGCTTGGCATCTAACCCAGAGCCTCACACATGCTAGGCAAGCACTGTACCACTGAGCTACATCCCTGGCCTCCGAGGTTATTTTATTTTATTTGTTTTTTTTTCTGGTACCGGGAATCGAACTCACGGCCTTGCGCTTGCCTGGCAGGCACTGTGCCACTGAGCTAAATCCCCAGCCCCAGGTTATTTTATTTATTTATTGTTTTTGTTGTTTTTAAGACAAGGTCTCACTATGTAGTCCAGGTTGGCCTCGAACTCACTATGTAGCCCAGGCTGGCCTCGAACTCAAAGAGATCCTCCTGCCTCAGCCTCCCAAGTGCTGGGATTACAGGCGTACACTACCAAGCTGGGCTCCTCCCAGATTATTTTGACATATTTCAAAGCTACCGAAAAGTTGAAAAAAATAGTACAATGAACACCCATATATGCTTCAAAAGATTCTCCAACTGTTAGCATTTCGACATAATAGCTTGCTTTATCTGTCTGTCTGTCTATCTGTCTATCTATCTATCGCCTTCCTGAATCACTTGACTAACCTGCTGATATCATGACCCTTTGGCCCAAATCCTTTAGCGTATGGCCACCAATAAAAAGGACATTTTCCCACAACTATAGCTTTAATCATCACTCTCTAGAATTTTTTTTTTTAATCTTTTTGAGACAGGGTCTCGCTGTGCAGTTCAGGCTGGCCTTGAGCTCACTTTGTAGCCCAGGCTGGTCTCAAACTCACAACGATCCTCCTGCCTCAGCCTCCCGAGTGCTGGGATTACAGGCGAGCTCCACTACACCCGGCTATACTCTCTAGAATTTTAATGTGAATGGAATAATATATTTTTTTTGAGACAGGGTCTTGTTTTGTAGTTCAGACTGGCCTTGAACTCACTATGTAGCTTAGGATGGCCTCAAACTCAAGCAATCCTCCTGCCTCAGGTTCCTGAGTGCTGGAATTATCGGCATGCACTGCCATACCCCAGATACAAAAATACTATCCAACATAAACTGACATTTCAAGTTCTTCCAGGGTCCCCAGAATGTCCTTTGGAGATGTTTCTTCTTTTTTAAACTCAGACCCTGCCACCCTCTCCAGCTCCCCAATATCAGTTACGGGCCCCCTTCAGTCCCACCACATTGTGGCTTCTAGGCTGTACCCTGTGCCCATGTCTTCTTCCCCCTCCTGCCAGCCCACCAACCTGCCCTTTCTTGTTCTCTCCCTCCCACTCTCTCTCCCTCTCTCTTTCTCTCTCTCTGTTCCCTCTCTCCCTCTCCCCCAAAGGGTTGCCATCCTACCTGAAGCATGCAAGCACCGTGGCAGGCGGCTTCTTCAGCCTCTACCACTTCTTCCAGCTGCACATGGTCTGGGTCGTGCTGCTGAGCCTCCTGTGCTACCTCGTGCTCTTCCTCTGCCGACACTCGTCCCATCGCGGTGTCTTCCTCTCCGTCACCATCCTCATCTACCTGCTCATGGGGTACGCCTGTGCTTCCTCGTCCTCACACTGTGGGCAGAAGTGTGGGTGGGTCTCTGAGGCTCCTGGCGTGGCCGTTGGAGATGGGGAGGTTTAGGGAGTCCGAGGAGAGAGAAGCGTGTCTGGGAGAGCTGTTCTAGGCAGAGGTCCTGAAAAGGGAGGGTGTGGAGAGTTCCCGGAAGGGGGGACCTGCGAGTCTTGTCCTTCCACCACGCCACACAGGACAGGTGGGCACGGGCTTCCTCTAGAGGAGGGAGCCCGGGACAACTTTCTGCCATGAGGCTGTGCAGGACAAGGGAACGGGGAACCCTCTGGCACCTTGATGTCCCCCCTCCATGGTCTCAGGGACCATGGGGGTTGTGGGGCCAAGTCCAGCACCTTTCCCCTCAGTGAGATGCACATGGTGGACACCGTGACATGGCACAAGATGCGAGGTAGGCAGCCGGGCTCCGGCCCGCTTGTCCCCGCCGGGATTCATCATTGCCCCTCCCTGATCTTTCCTCCACTTCTGTCCACCACCCGACAAACGCAGGCCTCACACTACCCCCCCCCCCGCTCTCTCTACCATGTTTTGCTCTACAAGTCTGAGCGCCCTCTGTCACGTATGTGCCTGACATTCTTGAGTCAGGATGTACGCCTGTCCTGGCTCACTTGCCCACCCGCCCCTCTATCCCTGCATCTGCATGCCTGCCGGCGTACCCCCTTTGCCTCCAACCTCACACCTGGTGTCCTCGTTCCCTCCGTGCTGACCTGCTCTCTTGCCCATCCACTTGACCGTGGGCCCCATACATAGGGGCCCAGATGATTGTGGCCATGAAGGCGGTGTCTCTGGGCTTTGACCTGGACCGGGGCGAGGTGGGTGCCGTGCCCTCACCTGTGGAGTTCATGGGCTACCTCTACTTCGTGGGTACCATCGTCTTTGGGCCCTGGATACCCTTCCACAGCTATCTACAGGCTGTCCAAGGCCGCCCAATGGTGAGGTCCTGGGTAGACAGGTGGGCAGGGGCTGTGGGAGCCACCAGAGGGCAGTGCTTATGGAGCCTTCATCCCTACAGAGCCGCCAATGGCTGCAGAAGGTGGCCCGGAGCCTGGCGCTGGCCCTGCTGTGCCTTGTACTGTCCACTTGTGTGGGCCCCTACCTCTTCCCCTACTTCATCCCCCTCGACGGTGACCGCCTCCTTCGAAAGTGAGCACAGCCTTTGAAGCCCCAGCCCAGCAGTGAGGGGGTTGGGTAGGGGCCTGGGCTCTCCCCAGTTCTGAGCGTGTCTCTTAATGCTTCTGTCCTCTTCTGTTGCTACAGCAAGAAACGCAAAGCCAGGTAAATGAGGGCAGGTACCGAGGGCGAGGGGAGTGCCCAGGGGTGGGGCAGAGCCTAGGACCACTTGCTTCCAGAAGTCTGAGTCTACCTGACCATCCACCCTGTGGCTAGACAGAGACCAGGTGTCTGTCTGTGGCTGTCTGCTTGCCCAAGATTGGCTCTGTGACTATGTGACTAACACTGGGATACATACCATGTGTCTGGCTGTCCATTTGTTCATCTCTTTCATAGTTAGGAGCAAGTTATGTGGCCATAATTGGGAGTGGCGAGTGTGCGTTAGTTGGTGATTCTGTCCTGTCTGTGTCTCTGGCTAGGGGGATGTGTGGGTTGTTTGCCTATGGCCCCTGACTCCCATACGTGGAATCGAGAGTTCTGGCTGGCTGTGTCATTGGCACTGATGGGGTGTGTGGCTGTCATTGGATAGGGTAGGTCTGGGAGGGTGATTCCGGTTCAGCTGTACCTCTGGTCTGGCTGTAGCATGCTGTGTGCCTGTCTGTGATTGACCCTGCCTGTCTGTCTTCCTTCTGTCACTGCTTGGTATTGGCTAGCTGCAGGGTTTTGTGACCAACTAGGAGCCTGCACCTGTCTGCAGGACTGACTGTCTGCCTCTGCTTTGACCTAGGATTGGATCTGGCCTCTCCTCCCTTCACCAGCTGCTAATTATATCTGATGATGAATGAGTTTGCAAACAGCCCAGTGACTTGACCACTGTCACCCAGCTAAGCAGCCAGGCATGAGTCCTGGGCCTACTTTCAGACCTTATGCTTCGGCCAGTGCAGGACGCTGCCTGGTTTTGGCCATGTCTGATTGTAAAATTGACAGAAAGTGTGTGTGTGTGTGTGTGTGTGTGTGTGTGTGTGTGGCTTATTTTCACGCACGCTAAATGGTCTCAGAGCCTCACTTAAGGGTTTTGACGGACTTATGGTTACTGAGTCTGGTAAAAGAGTGTCAAGGTTGGGAGTCCAATAGCCTTTTTGGCTATCACTGTGGTGTTCTAGCGCGCAGGGCTGTGTCATATCACGGGACAGCTCATAAATTTGTGTGGGACACATGAAACCAACCGCCTGCGGGTGTCTGCGTGCGGGTAACCGTCATAGTCAGCCTCTTTTGCCACTCCACTCCGTCTGTCTGTCTTATCTATGAGCAACTCTGCCCATGGGCCAGCACCTCTCTGATGCTCTTTTCTTTCTTCTCTGCTGCCTTCCTGACCCCTGGGGGCCCTAGGGGCACCATAGTAAGGTGAGTCCACCAAGCGAGACTGGGGACGGTGACACATGGCGGGGGTCACGGGGGGGGGGGCCTGGGCTCATCCCTCTCTCCTGCCCTTTCCTCCCCAGGTGGCTGCGAGCCTACGAGAGTGCAGTCTCTTTCCACTTCAGCAACTATTTTGTGGGCTTTCTGTCTGAGGCCACAGCCACACTGGCAGGTGCCGGCTTCACCGAGGAAAAGGATCACCTGGAATGGTAGGGGGGATGGAGGGCCTGCTCTGCCCAGGGTGCTTCCTGGGGGTTCAGGGTGCTCCCAGGAGAGGGAACAGCTGAGACAAAAGCACAGCAGCAAGATGGGTTGAGATCCCAATTGGGTTTGCGTGGCTCTTCTGCCCACAGGGACCTAACAGTGTCCAGACCACTGAACGTGGAGCTACCCCGGTCAATGGTGGAAGTTGTCACAAGCTGGAACCTGCCTATGTCGTATTGGCTAAATAACTGTGAGTCACCAAGTCACCACTGCAGGGAGTTGGTAATGTAGGAGGCCTTTGCAAATATTTATATAAGAGACATTTACTGAGCAACTACTGTGTGCTGAGCCCCAAAGATACAGCAGGGACAAAAAAAAATGCACAAAATCGCTGCCTCAGTGAAACTGTCATTTGGTGGTGGAGCAGATAATAAATAAGAAAAAAACACACACTAGTTCAGATATAGCCCAAGCATGATGGAGCACAACTGTATCCTGCACTCAGGAGGCTGAGGCAGGAGGATCACCATGAGTTTGAGGCTAGCCTGGACTGTATAGGGAGACCCTGTCTCAGAAAAATAAAGAAAGTTCAGATATACTAAATGTATCACACTTCAGGGTGAGAAGTGTTATAATGAAGTAATAAAAAAGCCAAAATATAAAAAAGAGCAAGATAAAACATAATATAGGATGCCAGGTGTGGTAGCACATGCCTATAATCCCAGCACTTGGAGGCTGAGGCAAGAGGATAGCCATGAGTTCGAGGCCAGCCTGGGCTACATAGTGAGTTCAAGACCAGCCTGAATTACATAGTGAGACCCTGTCTTAAAGCAAACTAAAACAAACCCCCACCAAAGAAAACATAAGATAAATCTTTCTCAAGTGGGAAGGGGATTAAGAGAGGGAGGGAGGAGAAAGGGGATGGAAAAAGGAATTAAGATGTGTCATGTGCATGTACAACACCACACAAAGAATGTAAGCATTATGTACTGCAAATGTGTACTAATAAAAATTAAAGAGAGATGGGACCTAGGATGTAGCTCAGTGGCACAGGGCCTACCTGGCAAGTGTGAGGCCCTGAGTTCGATTCTCGGTACCTAAATAAATAAATAAATAGGAAAAGTAATAAAGCAGGTAAAGGAAATCCAGGAATGTTGGCGGGCATACAAGGCAGAGTTGCCATTTTGGACAAATTAGCAAGGGCAAATGTCACTGAGAATATGACATCTGAGCAAGACCAAAGGAAGATGAAGGAGAAAAGAATGCAGATATGCAGGGGAGAAATGCAAAGGATGAGGAAGCAGCAGGTGCAAATGCCCTGAGGTGGAAGTTTGCTTGGTATGTCAGGGATAGCAGGAAGGTCTCTGCAGCTTGGGGTGGAGCTCATGAGTAGTGTGTGTCAGGCACTGGGTTCCATCCCTAGCAGCCTGGTGGGGCGGGGAGAAAGAGAAGGTCACTGGAGAGGGCAGAGTAAGTCAGAGTGCCAGTGCTGGGACATGAGCTCCAGGAGGTCCCTTAGGGCCACTGGGCTATGGAAAGGACCTTGGCTTTTTCTCGAAGGCTGACAGGAGTTACTCAGGGCAGGGCTCTGTGTTTTAACAGGATCTCTCTGGCTGCTGGGGGACAGACTGAGGGCAAAGGTATGAGGCCAGAAGCAGCAGTCAAGGCCAGTGACATTGGTGGCAGCAGGGCACAAGGACAGGAGGGATAAATTCTAAAGGTGGAGCCCAGGAAATTCGCTAAGGATTCGGGTTAGGGGAGGTTGCTGATCAAGGGTGATTCCGAGGCTTGTGCTCCGAGGTCCTGGAAGGGTGGCGTTGCCATTGACTGAGCTTGGGAAGACTGTGGGCGGAGCAGGCGGTCAGGGAGGATCAAGAGCTAGGATTTGGGCCTGTGAAGTTGGAGATCATTGCCAGGACTTTAATCCCTGGGGCCCCAGCGCATCGTGGGTGTTCTCATCCGCCTGCGGCTCTTGGGAATGGCAGAGGGAGTCCTGACCTGCATCTCTCCCCTCCAGATGTTTTCAAGAATGCTCTCCGCCTGGGCACCTTCTCAGCTGTGCTGGTCACCTATGCAGCCAGCGCCCTCCTGCACGTGAGCAAGGCGGGGCGGGGGCTGGGTGGGCGGCAGGGCCTCCTCCTCACTCACCTCCTTCCCCCCTCGGCCCCCAGGGCTTCAGCTTCCACCTGGCTGCGGTACTGTTGTCCCTGGCGTTTATCACTTATGTAGAGCATGGTGAGTGTCCCGCCGTCTGCCCTGTCCCCCAGACAGACGGAATGCTTGTTAGCAAGAGGCCTGGGGCCACTGTCCCCTGAGGCTAACCTAATCCCCTTATCTCCCCGCACTAACCCAGTCCTCCGGAAGCGCCTGGCTCAGATCCTCAGTGCCTGCGTCTTGTCAAAGCCATGCCGACCTGACTGTCCACACCGCCACCGCTTGGTGAGGGTTCTGCCTGGGAAACCTCGCGCCCAGCTGTTCCCTTCAGAAATGTCATTTCTTCTATCTCCATCTTGTATCTGTCACAGGGTCCCCAGCTTCCTCTTCTGGTGCTAGAGCCACCTCGTGGCTAGAGCCTCCCCGTGTCCTCGCCTCTATTCACTAGCATCTGTTTCTCAAATAGGCATTTATTGGACACCTGCTGTATGCACACGGCACGTGTTCCCCCAGTGAACAGTTATTGAGCACCTGCTGGTTGTAGGTTGCTGGAGATACAGTGGTGAACAAAATGGGCCAAAGTCTGGCCTTGTGTGGGACATACATTTTAACAGGAAAGACAGTAAAGTAAAAAATAAGTTAATGAAGTCTAACAATAGACTGTCAGGTTGTGAATAGTGCTAAACACAGGGAAAAGAGACGGGAAGTATGGGGGTGATGGTTTCCCTTTTAATGACAGGGAAGCTTCCCAGGTGAGGGGACTTTTGAGTTCTTGAGTTGAGGGAGGGAAGCATCCGTCCTCTGCGGAGGACCCAGCATGGGAGCAGGCCTGTAGTCTGCGGAACCATGAGAGGCCAGTGTGGCTGGAGCAGAGTAAGCCAGGGGAGATGTGGGCCCTCCAGCTCATAGCAGGGACTTGCTTTTCTTTTGTTGTTGTTTTTACTGTTTGCCATAAGAAATACGGACAACCTCATATAATTTGTCTCCTACATGGGACCAGTGTTGGTCACCATAAACCCCAGCTCAGAGCCCCACCATTTTTGCTTCGCCACCTGAATGTTTGCATCTCCTCCAACCTGGATGTCCTCGTGGTTCACAGCACCCTCACCCTCTGAGCTCCTGTACGAGGCTCCTTGAAACATCTCTTTCCCGTCTCACTTGGGCATCCCTATTCCTGGGACCCACAGTGCCTTGCGTGTCCCGCTGGGCTTCCCTGTGCGGGCAGTGGTGGGACAGAGAGCAGGTGCAGCTATCAAGCATGTCCATCTGTCCCCCACAGGGCCTGGGGGTGCGAGCCTTAAACTTGCTCTTTGGGGCCCTGGCCATCTTCCACCTGGCCTACCTGGGCTCCCTGTTTGATGTCGATGTGGACGACACCACAGAGGAGCAGGTGAGGTGGGGCCCCGGGCTGGGGGGTTAGCCAGAGATGGCACTTCCTGTTCACAGGAACCCTGGGGCCAGGGAGATGGAGAGACAAGCTCCAGGGTCATACTTCTTAGCATGTGCAGTGAATGTGCCTTGCCCTCCCGTTCTCAGCGTCCCTCTGGTTAAGTCACCCTGTTGGCTCTTTGAGTGAAATGTGGAAAATATATTTATTTATTTTCCCTTTAAAATTTATTTTAAAATGGGCGTGGTGAGCCGGGCATGGTGGCGCACACCTATAACCCCAGCACTCAGGAGGCTGAGGCAGGAGGATCATTGTGAGTTTGAGGCCAGCCTGGGTTACAAAGTGAGCTCAAGGCCAGCCTGAATTGCATAGAGAGACCCTGTCTCAAAAAAACAAACAAAAAGATGGGCGTGGTGATGCACACCTATAATCCCAGCAAAATGGGAGGCTCAGGCAGGAATATCACAAATTTGCTCCCAGCCTGAACAACTAAACAATTTAGTGAGAAACTTTCAAACAATAAATAAATAAAAAGGGGTGAGGATGGAGTTCAATGTGAAGGTCCTGAGTTCAATCCCCAAAAACAAACAAGTCATTTTATAAAGATGGTATACAAAAACCAGATTTACTTTTTAATTGTTTATTTAATTTGTTGGGTTTTTTTCAGACTCACTGTGTAGCCCTGGCTAGCCTCAAACTTGGGGCAATCCTCCTGTGTCAGCTTCCTGAGTGTTGGGATTATATGTGTGCTACTACACCTAGCTCATTTTTATTTATTTTATTTATTTACTTTTTGTTAGTAATGGAGACTGCTACGCACCTGCTCTGCCATTGACTACACCCCTAGTCCCAGGTTTTACTTTTTATTTTGTTTTTTTGTTTGTTTTGTTTTGTTTTTTGAGACAGGCTCTCTACGTAGTTCAGGCTAGCCTTGAACTCATTATGTAGTCCAAGCTGTCCTCAAACTCTCGGCAATCCTCCTGCCTCAGCCTCCCTCTTATTTATTTTTTAAATTTTATTTTACTAGCCAGACATGGTGGTGCACACCTATAAAGCCAGCACTTTTGAGAAGCTTAGGCAGGAGGATTCCAAATGTGAGTCCAGCCTCGGTAACTCAGAGAGAACTTGTCTCAAAATAAAAAATAATAAGAAAAGGGCTAGGGATGTAGCTCAGTGGGGAGACTCTAGCTAGGTTCAATCTCCAGTACCACAATAAATAAATGAATAAAATAAAAATTATAATAAAAAAGTCCTGAGGATGTAGCCCAGTGTGAAGACCCTATGTTCAATTCCCAGTACTGCAAAAAAAAAAAAAAAAAAAAAGAAAAAGAAAAAAAAATTATTCGGGTTGAGTGTGCAAACTGAATTTTTTTTGTTCCCTCCCTCCCTCCCTTCCTTACTTCCTGTCTGTACTGAGGATTGAATCCAGAGCCTTACACGTGCTAGGCAGGTGCTCTACCACTGAGCTACACCCCAGCCCTTTTTATTTTAGTTTTTGAGACAGGATCTCACTAAGTTGCCCAGGCTGAGCTAGAGATCTTCTCGTTTTAGGCTCCCATTTGTCTGCAATTATAGCCATGTGCCACGGTGGCCAGCTCAAACTCTGGAGTTTCCTTTTTAAAATGTTTACATTTAGCCAGGCATGGTGGTGCTGAGGCTGGAGGCTCACTGTGTGTTCAAAGCCAGCCTAGGCTATACAGTGAGTTTATGACTGGCTTGGACTACATAGTGAGACCCTGTCTCAAAAACAATAGCAAAAAAATAATTTATTTTTAAATTTTCTAGATGGTAGCATGCACCTGTAGCTCCAGCTACTGGGGCAGCTAGAGCTGAAGGATCTCTTGGAACCAGGAGGTAGAGGCCAGCCTGAGCAGTACACTGAGACCTCATCTCAAAAGTTTAAAAAATATGTTAAATTTCTACACTACTTTTGTTCATGTCAAGTATGCAATTTCCAGATTTTAGGCCCCCTCCCCTTTTTTAACATAGGTCTCACTATGTAGCCCAGGCTGGCCTTGAACTCACTATATAGCCCAGGCTGGTCTTGAACTCAAAGAAATCTTCCTGCCTCTGGCTCTTCAGTGCTTGGATTATAAGTGTGCACCACCATGCCCAGCCTTCACCCCTTTTAAATTTGAGAGCAATTTTGGCTGGGCGTTGTGGCACACACTTGCAATCCAAGCACTCTGGAGGCTGAGGCAGAAGGATCACTGTGACTCTGAGGCCAGCCTGAACTACACAGTGAGCTCAAGGCCAGCCTGAACTACATAGCAAGACCCAGTCTAGGAAAAAAAAAAATTTAGCCATATGTGGTAGGGTATGCCTATGATCCTAGCACTTGGGAAGTTAAGGAAGGAGGGTTGAGCCGGGGATGTAGCTCAGGGGTATATGCGCTTGCCTGGCAAGCCTGAGGTCATGAGTTCGATTCCCGGTACCGG